ATTAAGCTAATTATGGCCAAATAAAGCGGCACGAATTGAGGCGCGCGCTCTGAGCAAACAGTGGATGCAACCGAGGGGAGTGGGCATGCCACCCAGGATATGCACACAGGATACACAGGATGCCAGCACTTAACTTTAACAACAGCATTGGTTTCCTTTTGGTCCTCCGTCGCTGTGGTTGCGTTCAGATTGTTTTTCAATTTTCTGCATTGTTAAACTTTTTGTTTCTTTTCTCACTCGTATTGTGTGTGTGTCAGGGGGGGGGGCTTGTTTAATTTGCCGAGATGTCACGTGTCGCTAGGCAGCGGCAAGTGCAACTGCCGCCACGACACGTGTCCTGTCCGGGCCTCTGCTCATCCTGCACCAGCTGTTTAATGTAGGCAGCGGCATTGGCAAATATTTTGCTTGTGCGTTGAGCAAATCAATTTTGTATGCTCGCCCGTTCCCGGGCATCAAATGGGAAACGTATCTGACATTGCGCACGCCCCGCTCTTGCTCCGCCCGCCCGGACCAGTTAGCGTCAGCCGCCCGGGCCTGAGTCTGGGCCTGGGCCACGTGTCCTCGACGCGCCTCTTTCGTTCTCGCTGCTAATCTATCAAACGCTCGCTGGCAGCCAACCAAATTGAGTTTGTTTGGATATCATTTCCCGGGCTGTTTCTTGTTTTCCTTTGCTTCTTTTCTTTTTGCCCGTTTTTGGCTACCTGCCCGAAAAGCCACTGCCAAAGCCACTTTCACTTGGCCAAGCGTCCGCTGCCCCCCTCGCTCCCATTTCAAGCTCACAAATTTTGTGCCCTGTTCCCACATTTCTGCCGCCGCGTTGACGTCAACGTCAATCAAATTAGGCTGTCCCTGGCCAGCACCCGTGCCAAAGTTCACACATCAAATGCTTTTCAGGGGTGGCTTCCCGTTTCCCATTCCCTTCTGGTGCTAACTTGCGATTTGCGTTTGTAAATGTTTTTCTAATCAGATTTGTGTGCTATACACAGGGGAGTGCAATTTGTTTTGATCTGCCAGGCGCAATCCGTTTAAGTGACGTCCGGGTGTGGGTTCAAAGACAGCGTTGACAATGCCCACGGTTCGCATAATTACTTCTGCTCTTTTCCCTGCCGGCGTGTGCGGGGATTTCTTTGCCTATGATGTGGGTTTTTTGTGGCGCCCGAGCAGGGACTCATTTGCTAACTTTGCTAGTTGCGAAAGCATATTTTAGTTGTCAAGTGATATATTAAACGCTGAGCACTCCTTCCTAGCGAATGAGTGCTGCTCGTTCCTCCTTCCTCGTCGGCGCCCGAGCAGGGTGCGAGAACTTTGCTAGAGGCAGACCCAGAGTAAAATATTTGCTTTCTATTACTATGACTTACAGATATAAAATCTATGATTCATTTTTAAAATTATATTGAAACAAGTTAAGGTATCAATTGCCAGTTGTATTGAAAATATTGCCAGCCGTAGATATTTTCATAAACAAGATGCGGGCTAAATTTGATTATCATTGATCAACAAAATTGTCGTCCACCAAATATGGCTCCCAAAATATAATGGTTGAGGGCCATTTTTAGTGACTTGATTTCTGGTTCAGTTCAAAGTAAAAAATACCTGGGTACAGCCTTAATTTTTGTATCGTTCCTGGGATATGTTTGGAACATTGCACGTAAGCAGAGGAATATGGTTTTATCAATTTTCAGCTTTAGTGGCGGAGTAAGATATATTTTAATATGGGCACATTCTCCTAATGGACAACACACATCTATCAATCTATATCAATGTGTGCCGTCTGTTCGGCGCCTGAGCAGGAACAAATTTGGGAAACTTTGCTTGTGCCCAGAACGTGTGCTCAAATCAATTTTGTATTATAGTAGCGAAGCCCAGAGTAATATACCTGATATTTGTTATTCTTATTAACCCAAATCAAACCGTATTTATATATGGTTTAAGTGGCGCCCGAGCAGGGACATGTTGGGAGCCTTTGCTTCTGTTAGTATCCAGTTTTAGTTGCCAGTGACACATTCGCTCTGCTCAATGGCAATCAAACCATGATTGATCGATTGCTTTTTAACCCCGCCATTAAACTAAAATAAATAATCATCGTTGACATTGTAAATTCATAAATTAATAAAGCAACTGCAACTGCAACTGCAACTGCAATTGGCAATCGATTTATTACGACAATTCACCCAGTGCCAAGCGTCAATTGCCAACTTTTGAGTGATTCGTTACACGCAATTGACCATGGTCGAGTCTTTGGCAGTTTTTGTAGCCCCCGGTCGGGTGCATTTTCTTCGTTTTGTGAAAGCAAATTTCGCCATTTTTCAATCGCGCATTTTTACTTTATTTCTTGTCTCGCTGGGGAATTAGATTTTAAGACCCTTTTGCGTTTTGCGGATTATTATTATTTAGCAAGATTTTGCCATTCTAATTGATTGTTCGCCCATTCGCCGCCAGCAGTCGCTACTGTTCCTCCTTCGCCGCTTGCTCCTCTTCCAGGGCTAGCTCTTCTTATCTACCTATCTGGGCAACCTATCGATCTAGTTATCTTTTTTAGCTCGACCGCGGGCTCCAGTAGGAGTTATTCAATGCGCACGTCCCGCCTTCGTTTCGATATACATATGCTCACAATATCCATTTAGATATAACCAATCGCCGAGCCATGTGCCTACTCGCACCCCCTTCCCTGGCCATTTGTTTGCGGGGCGCATTTATTTGTGCATTACACAGCGTAAGCGTACTTAAGTTGCTTTTAAGCCCTGGCGCCGCTCCAATTGCGAAAAGGAAACGGGCCACAGCAACACACACTCGAGCTCACACACACAAACGCGCAAAGCCAACAGCCAAATGGCGCCATATCTTGATGACTTGATGATTCCATTTTCCATTCTCAAATATGTTCTGTGGAAATGTGGCGAGTGCACGCACAGCTGATCGCGAAGAAAAAAAAAATTGGCACTGCAAACTAGCCAATGACACTAGTGGCGCCATCTATTGATCGTTTGTTTCGCGCGCACTTTCGCAGATCTTCGCACTTGGTTTGTGTCTTAACTAAGCACCGTTTGTGCACCGTAAAAAAAATTTGGTCATTCCCTGCAATAATCGCAAAGATCAAAAAACGTGGTCGATTCTAGAGACCAGTACGAGTTCAAAAAGGTATAACTTTCCAAAATCGGTCCATTTTTAGCCGAATTATCGGAAAAAAACGAAAAATCTTCCAAATTATTTGGTGTCAATCGATAGTCGGGATCCGTACGAGAAGAAAGAGGTATATCATTTCGAAATCGGACATATGGTACTATGTAGACAGCACGAAAGTATGCAGTACTACTAAAGTTCTGCTAAAACCCGCTACAAACGGCTATTTATTTATTTATTAAGTGGTCGACAAAACGAGTGTCTTTTCAATTCAATACATTATATATACATACAATTATAAAAATTAAATGCTAAAAGCCTAGATAGAGAACACAAATTCCTAATAGCATCACCGACCGATGGAGGTGTTTTATTTGCCAGTCCGGCCAGCTGTGCCCCTTTTCACAGCTAATTTTGTTAGTGACGCTATTAGAGCCTACATCTAAGAAGAAGGGTGTAAGTAGGAAAAAGTGTTCTTAAGTAAAATTAAAAATAATCTTAATTTGCTATAAAAGAAGTAAGAAGATTGTTAATAAAGTATAGAACTGTATGCTAGATATACAGAGTGTTAAGTAGATAGAATAAAGAGATAGTATTGGGAAAGTAATGGGAAATCACCGACCCGGTGGGGGAAAATTTACAGCCTGTCCGGCCAGCTATGCCCCTGCTCATAGCTGGGAATGGTCAGTGACTCCCCGAAGGTATCCTGAAAGCAACGATTTTATTAGGGGCAGAGAAAGTTCGGTAGAGAAAACGTGATTGTAATTTTTACATAGCACGCGAAAAGGATTGTGCATAGCGTAGTCTGTTGTGCTCGTCGATAGGAATAAGGGGCGGTAATTTCTGGTTGGTCTAGCCGGAACGGAGAATTGAAGACGCCCTAGCAGAAAAGGAGAATCTATATCGCCAACAACCAACTTATGTAGGAAGATAACACCGAGGATTGTCCTACGGTTGGTTAACGACGGAAGATCAAGAAGAAGAAGACTGCTGGAGAAGGATTTAAACCTCGTAGGGCAAAAAGTAGAAATTGTTTCTGAACAGATTCAATACGATCCTGGCTATTGTTATACTGCGGAGACCAGATACAAGAGCAGTATTCAAGGATGGGACGAACAAGAGAGATGTTCAGAAGTTTCGTTATAAAAGGATCGTTAAACTCTTTAGACCATCGTTTAATGAATCCAAGTACACCTTTTGCCTCATTAACGATGGTATCTATGTGAAGATTGAAGCAGAGTTTAGAATCAAAAAGAACGCCTAGATCCTTAACTGTTAGTATACGTTGCAATGGAGTATTGTCGATTGTATAACTGACAAGTTAAGGTGTAGTACGATTAAATGTCATAAACATGCACTTTGAACAATTCAGATGCAATTGATTGGCCGAACACCAAAGTAGCATAGCGTTCAAATCGTCTTGAAGACGAGAATAATTAGTGTATGATAGAATAACTTTTACGTCGTCGGCATACATGAGTACACATGCATGGGATATAAAGAGGGGAGATAATTTATAATAAGAGTAAAGAGTAAAGGGTCCAAGATGACTACCTTGAGGCAACACCAGAAGTAACGTGAAATGGCTATAAAGCTCCTGCTGTTAATGCACTTAAAACGTAATTAAATTTCATACAAAATTAATTAGCTCTTTGTCGTTATCTGTTTGAAAATAAAAACAAAAGAGGTTTACCGGAAAAACTCATTCACTAACCGAATATTGCCATGAAACTCTAAGTTATGATTTCGAATGTGGATAAAAATGTCTCCGTAGTCTCCTGTACCGCAGCTTAAGAGCGTAGACAAAATAAAAACATTATTTTATATTTTTACAAATCAATATATGTTTATCTTTTTATTAAAAATAAATGTACATACTACACAATATGGGTTCACTGAGTTTTATGTTTATACAACGATTACATATTCCACAGAGGTCAAAGAGTTATTTGCTAATTTAGCACATCCTTACTTAAGCTTCAACTTAAACTTAATATTTACAAGTTAAATACTTTGGATCAGTCACAGTTCTGCTCAATGGCGTGGCGTGATCTTTACTCTGAGCCCATCCTTGGGACGCAGAATCAGTTCGCCCAGCAGCGTCAGATCTTCGCGGCGATCAACAGCCTCGATCTTGTATTTACGCAACACTGTCGAGATGACTGCCTTCTCCTCCAAAATGGCAAACTTCTGTCCAATGCAGTTGCGCGGCCCAGCACTGAAGGGTATATAGGCAAAGGGATGACGTCCAGCGCAGTTCTCGGGCAAGAAGTTATCCGGATTGAACTGCTCGGGCTTGGGAAAGACGCGCGGATTGCGATGCAGCGCATAGGTCATGATTATAGCCTGAGTGCCGGCGGGCACCAGTTTGCCACCTAAGCAAATTATAACGTTAGCAGACGCTGAAAATCATTAGTCTTATGGAGTACTTACCGATGGTCACATCCTCGCCCACCATGCGTGCCATCATGGGCACGCTGGGAAACAGTCTGAGGGCATCCTTGATGCAGCACTCCAAATAACGCATGTCGAGCAGATTTTTCATTGTGGCGGGCGTCTCGGTGTCATCGCCAAATATGGACTCCAGTTCCTCCACAACGCGCTCCTGATATTCCGGATTGGCGCCCAGCAGGAACAATGTCCAGGAAATGGCGGCAGAGGTTGTGTCATGGCCCTCAAACATAAATGTATCTACCTCCTCACGGATATCCTCCTGCAAATCAAATCAAATCATTTTTCATTCATATATGAAAGTTTTCCTCTATTTAATCCGTACATTGGACAGGACGGTGCCCTCTTTGGAGGCATCGATCAGCAGGTCGAGGAATGCCAAGCGCTTCTTCTTGCCCAGATCATCGTAGGCATCGGGCGTTTCGTTGTTGTTGTTGTTGTTATTATTGTTGTTGTTGGCCAGCTCAGTTTTGCGCTCACGTATCACCATATTGGAGAAGCCATGGAGCGTATTAATGTACCTCTGATGCGTCTTGTAATCCTCGGTGAGGCGGAAAAGCAAATCGCTCTGCAGCCAGATCTTTGCCTGACGACTCTGCACAATGGAGCCAATGCTGTTAGCATGAGGGTGTCAAAGACATGGAGGGAGTGGAAAAGTGTTGCATTAAATTGAAAGTTAGTCAAGTGTTTGCTGTCGGTTTGACTGTCTGCCAGTCGGTCTGTCTGTCTGTCTGTCGGAGCATCTGTGTGCTTTATGAGGCATGTTATCAGCAGCAGCAGCAGCAGGAGCAGCAGCAGCAGCATTGCCATTGACATCTTAATCTCGCATATTTTGCGCTTGAGTAGAGAGCACCCCAAACACGTATACACTCATACACGCACACACACGCAGTCATAATGCGATTTGGGCGTGTGTGAGAAAGTGTTTTGAACGCTGACATTTGCACTGACAGCTCTCAATATTACACAGCTGCTCACAACCCCAAACTCACTGTTCAATTCTAGTTCTTGAAATTGTATTTAAGTAGTTTGCAGTATATGCAGTATTTTTTTTTAGTATTTTCTTCACTTACCCATAGACCGCCTTCACGTACTCCGACTCGCTGTTGCTCTGTGCATAGATTTTCCGACCCATGGCAGTTTCTGTGACGCAATTAGCAACCAGTTATTTGACATGATATATATACATAAATATATGCTATAACATATATATTTAACATTGACACTCACCGCACACAATGTCCAAGGTGCAGAGTGTGACGTAGGGGAAGATGTTGAACGCCTCGGTGCCCAGCTCCACGGCCAGTTTGCGGGCCAAGACGGCGCTTTGCTCGTTGAACACATCAATAAAATCATCCAAAATTTTGAAATGAAAGGCGGGCGTCAAAATCTGCAAAGGCCAATTAGATATATATAGTGCAGATAGTAACTATAATTCGATCAACTGTTCTCTGGGCTTACCTTTCTGCGGGAATGCCACTTACGATCCGTGCTGGTGAGCAGGCCTGTGCCCAGCCAGGGATGCAGATAGTCGTAGTCATGGCTCTTGTTCACAAACTTCTGACTGTTCAGTATGGGCTGCAAGTAGTTTGGATTAAGTGTGAATGAACACTCTCTCAGTAAAAGTTGCTGCACTTACCTCCACAGTTTCCGGCTCGAAGAGCAGCACGCGCGGGGATGTGCCCTGCCAGACGCGATTGATGCCGATCCGTGTGCCCCAGAGTTTTTGCATGCCTATTACACGATTAAAAAGCTCTGCAAGAAAAAAAAAATAACAGAGAGAAACGTTTAAGAATACAGAAATAGAAACAAATTAAACCAGTTACTAATTTGGCTCTGCCTGACAGACAGACACTTAACGAGCGTCTAAGTGTAGGATAAATAATAAATAAATGACATAAAATAAATTTTGTTGTGACATTTGCGGTCATTGTTTGGATTACCAGATGTCTCTACCAGTCTAATTTCTATACCCTGTACCCCGCAAATGGGCCAAAACAGGGTTATGTTATATTTCAGCATGGTATCCAAGTCTCTGACAGCAGTTTTGTTTATCTATCTGTCTGTGTGTCTGTTGGACTGTCAATGTATCTGTGTATCTCTGTAAGCTCGTCTAAATCTGGATCTTTAAGAGCACAAGACTTTAAAATTGATATATGGAGGCTCGTTAAGCATACGTATCTTGAATTTACTTAACATTTTTAATTACTCTCACATACATGCTGCTAGATATTAGAAAATTAGGAATAATTTGCCATCAAATTTGTCTACTATAAAGGCAGAACTTTGAAATCGGACACGAGTCATCTACTAGTCTAGCACTCTCTGCTAGAGCATTCAGACTTGCTGTATATACCCTGAACCCATTGAAAATGGGCAAAAATAATGGTATAATATTTTTGTGTATGTAACAGAGAGAGGAAAGCATCTCCGACCCCATAAAGTATATATATTCTTGGTCAGCATCAATAGCCGAGTCTATCTTCCCATGTCCGTGTGTTCGTCCGTCTGTCTGTCAGTCCGTATGTATGATCGTGTCGATCTCAGAACTTGTAAAAGCTAGAGACTTTGAATTATTCAGTACGAGTTTATTTCTGGCCATCGACAGCTTGCCCCGTTTCCAAGCGTTAAAAGTCAATATCGAAATCTTGTTTATCTTGTTTATTGAGCAAAATTGAGATAGACGCCAAATTTGACAGTAGAATAGAATATACAGATCAAGAATCTTTCAGTTTATAACTAGCGCGAACTGCATTCGGTGTATCAGGGTATCCCCCATTCGGGCACTCCCGACTAGAGCATTCCCACTTGCTTGCAGTTGCATTTTCAAATGTTGGGGCGGCGATTCGATTCGGGTTGCCAGTTCACGTGTGAAAATTGTTTGCGACACCAATTAAAGAAAAAACTTACAAATCTTTGTGTGTGTGCTCACATGTGAGAAACAATCAAGGCCGTGTAATCATGTAAAAACGTTGTGTTAATTTTAATATGTTACACTTGTTCATCACGTCGGTAAACATATATATATGTAAGCTGCTCTGTCTAGGCTTCTTGGGTTTTTTTTTTTTTAGTTTTCTTTTTTGTTTTATTGCTGTCAGAAACCTGCGCCGGCGCACGTTGCTCATGCAGCCCGCTTTGCTGGTCATTTGTTGCATTAATTAAAAAGATGACACACACACGCACACCGACACACACACCGTCACTTTCAGAGATGTCTAATAATGATTTTATGTAACCCAAAACTCAACCGTCAACACGAATTGTTATAAAAAAAAAAACGCAACACCCAAAAGACAAGCGGCTATTGCGGCCCCCTCTTTGGTCCACCGGGTCCCGGCATGTGGTGCTCGGCATGCTGCTGCCCCTTTTGGGCTGCTGCTGGCCATCTCGCTCGTCGGAAGTTTGCATGTTAAACGCGGCAAAAATACGCTAACAATCAAATTTCCTACGTGCAAAAATAATATAAAAAAGCCAAATGCGAAGCAAAACAAAATGAAATGAAACGAAACAAAACAAAACGCATTTCAAATCTTTTTACCGGCTCTCAGAGTATTCATTATGATTTTCGCTTTGAAATTGGCTTGTGGGTTGCTTTTGTTGTTGTTGCTGTTGCTGCTGACCAGCTTGTTGACAAACTTGACATAAAACAGCAACACATTTTTTTTTTGGCTGCTTTAAATTGCGTTAACAATTTGAAATAATTTATGTGCCGCTTTATAACTTGCAACAATTTGTCATTGGGCCAAATTGTGGCACATTAAATACATGAGATGAAAAGGCGCTTTTCAAGTTGCCGACGATCTAATGCTCTGCCAGCAATAGCAAAGGCTTTTCTTAACCAAAGCAAAATCTTATCGATGAGTGGATCGCGCTGCAAAGTAATACGATTTCGATAAACAGTATAGTCTTATAAATCGACTTTATGATGGCTCCATCAATGCGTTACGCTTTATACCGTCTATAAAGGGTGTTATAAAAATCATTAACGCATTGCCGCAACAGTTGATGTTAATGTGGCTGTTAATGTTGATGTCAAGCCGGCTTTCAATGCCAGACCGCAAGCACCCACGACCACAGAGACTCGGTCTCAGTCTCAGTCTCAGTCCCAGAGTCAGAATCGGAGCCGGGCTGCGGATAGCCGAGACCCAGACAAGTTGGCACTGACTGCCAAATAATGTTCTTAACATTAGAGCTCGAATTCCAAGCACCCGACGCAGGCCTTGGTATCTAAACACTTCAAATGCTGCTAGTCTTAAGCAGCTTTTGGATAATTATGAATTAAAATCTCTGGCACTTGGGCCACCAAGGTGACCTTGGGCCGCTCATTTGTTGCAACATCAGTTGTGGATGCTACTGTTTGGTCGCTTGATAACTTCTTAAGTCATACTTGAATTAGATAGAAAAACGCTTAAGTTAATTCAAGTTGTTGTTCTTGTTGTTGGCGTTGTTGTTGCTATTGCAGGGGCAGGGGCTGCCCCAATCGGCACACAGAATCCATAAGTTGCAGCAACAGGTTCCTAGATTGCCTTGAACTGAACTGCAGATACATCTGCGACCGGCAAAAAGCGAAAGCCGTGAGCACATAATTAATTTTTTTCATCAAAGTTTATTTTTTTTATATTTGTTTGCATATATGCAAATTTGTTAGCTAAGAATTTGCTGAACAAAAGATCCATTTGAAATTTACTTAAATTGCAGAATAACATTTGTTAATGGCCCAATTGAAATAAATTTTATGATGACCGGATTTGGGCTGGGCTTTTAATAACTTAGCACAATGTCATAATACTCTATTAGCTCCATCAAGAGTCTAGCCAAACTCTTGCAGCGAATGCTTAGTTCACGGTTCAAGCCAAGGCCTTGCTTTAACATTCGGTTCCTTAAGCTACTATATATCCAGGGTTGGATGTTGAATTGGGCGAGTCAAATTTCTATAATCTTTTAATAGAACTTTTCAATTTGTCATAACTAAGATTAATTATATCAAATACACTTTCATATTTGTTGAAATATGTGTATTTTTCTTAGTTTTCGTCAAGTAACAAAATACATTTTTGAACCAAAAAGTGTGCTCCGATTAAGATTCAGGCTCGGTCTATCTTTATGCAACTCATTAAGTTACATTTCATGGCCCTTCAAATTGGTTCGGTTTCAGCCGTGCTCAATAAATCACCTCGGTTCAGGTCTATTAATTGGCATCAATCTCTGCATTAACATTAAGACTTATTAGTGCGAATGAAAGCACAATTTAAATGCATATGCCAGAATGGGTAGAGTTTAAACCGGCTGCCAAAAACTGACAGTTTGGCCCGCAGGCAGCCGACTTCCGACAATTCCAACTGCTTGAGAACATTGAAGTGAGGCCAAAAGCTGAGCTACCAAAAAACTCATCTAGCCAGAAAAACCACTTCACTCCACTTCGCATCAGTCTCTAACTGTGTAGACAAAGAACAAAGAACCAGACGGATAGGAAACGCACCTCGAGACCAGACAAAAGCATAATAACACAACATAAGCATCAAATGGAAATTTTTCGAATATTTTCAATACCCTCAAAAATATTTCCTACACGATTAGCATCTCGAATTGAACTTGGCCGACTGAAGAAGCTGCAGCCCAAATAGCATGTGCTTGAATTTAGATACACGCATGTATGTATCTTTGTGTGTCTATTTATCAATCTGTGCTGCTTGCTGCGTTTCCGCATTTAGAGATACTTTTCTGTGTGCCTGTGTGTGTGCGTGTGTGTATGTTAATTGATGTGTGTTTTGATTTTTTTTTTTTTTTTGTGGCGTTCGAACTTGCTGCGGAACTATTAGATTAGCTTGTGAATTAATCATTCCAAAATTTATTGAACGCTCAAGTTTGGTGCTTTTCCAAACGACTCTCCATTTATTAGCTGCAAAAGCTGCATAGATTGTCTGTGGCTGGCTTTGAATGTCAAGTCCAAGATCAAGATCAAGTTCAATTTAAGCGCACGTCCGCCTCAGACCCAGGGCTCATATTATTAAGCCTTTATTTTGCCTTAGAAGTTTATGATCGTTTTGTTGTTTTTACAACTTCTCGAGTGTTTTGTTTGGCTTGTTATTTAACCATTTATGAGGCAGCTACTGTTTTTCTTTGTGCTTCAGTTCTTGACAAACTTGCACAATATTGCTTTTTTGAAGTTAATTTATTTTCATACAACAAATGTGGCATTTCCGCAGTTTACCAAAAAAAAGGAGCCCTTTTATGATGATTGTTATGATTTTTTTGTGTTGAAGGTGAAAGTTGTTGCCGCTTGCCTCATATCAAGTTCAAATTTGGCATTAGCGCAAAAAAGAAGAAAATTAAAATAATTATGTGATTCACACTAACTATGGGTATGTATTTGTGTTTATTCAATTTTGCGGCTGAGTTGAAGGTCTCGTTACAGCTTTATTTATTTTTTTTTTTATAAATAAGCTAGATTTGTTTATTTTTATTTATTTGAAAATAAATCGAGATGAATGAAGTGATTAAATAGTTGATTTTGATTAAATATAAACAGAAAGAAAAACAATAATAATAATTAAAGTGAACACAAAACTAATTCAAAAGACAATAAGAACAAATGGAAAAATTAAAATAAATTCTTAAATTTTTCATTAGCCACAAAATTGTTAAAAACTCGATCACAAAATATTCGTATTTTATTGGTATAAACAATTAAAATGTAAAATTGTAGTTATGCAATTGGCTTTCTCCAATTACTATGCAGCATTTATTATGATTAAAATGTACAATTTTATTTTCATAATTTCAGTTCGAATTTGGCGGCTGCTTATTTATTGTTAGCAAAAGCTAATGCAGCTAATTTTGCTAATTAAATAAAATGTTTACCAAGAGACACAAGTTTGCTAAAATTTAAAACAATTTAAAGGCAGATATAAGTTAATATCTTTTACTCAAATAATGCAAATCTGTATGCTGAACATTTGTTCTATTCTATTAGATCATCAAAACGTCAATTAGCACATTTTCGAACTGTATTCTTTTCGCCCTCAACATTTATTTGATCACGTATTTCTGTTTCTATAAAGATCTTTTTCCTGTGAAATTGAAAGCAAAGAAAGCGAAACTGAAAGTGACATAAAAAAGTTCATTAACATTTGGGAAAAACTAATGCCAAATGCGGAGAGCACTGTGGATTCACAAATAAATCGCGGGCATCATTGACTGGCTGTTGGATCGTTAGTTTATCCGTAAATTAGCACCTAATGCCGAGTGTGCTTTATTTCTATGCTTTATTTACTACGAGTTCTATTGGCTTATTCAATGAGATCAATCTCTTACGTGCAGTCGAGTTCGAATAGTTAGATTCAGGGTCGAGATACACAAGAAAGCTGTAGAACAGTGCACAATTATGGGCTTAGCCAAGAACTCACCATCGTGATCCACATTCATTTCAATGGCATTGCCCAGAAAGGGCAGCGCGGCAGGTCCGGGTATCTTTTCGATATATTTAACCCAACGGGCGCGTCTCTTATTGTAGACCACTAGGAAAATGCTGATAGTGGCCAGCAGAAATATAGTTATAGGCGAATAGCCCGATATGATCTGTGCGGCTTTCGAGAGCAATATGCTCTCGGCCATCAACGAACTAAATACTTTTGAGGACATTTCGCAAACAGTTTTACACTTGGCCAATCGCCTTTGGCATATCCTTTACACACATGCACACGCGCACACAAGTCGAGTTGGGATTTTATTTATGTTTTTTTTTTTTTTGTGTGATCAATTTTAATCCGGACCCGGCACGATCACAATTTGAATTCTCTGCTCGACACTAACGCTGCGAACTCCGACACACAACTAACAAAAAGTTTGAGTTTGCATAAAAATTTAAAAAGAAGTGCTAAATTTTCGGCTTGGCGTTTCGGCTTTTCGGTTTCGTCGCTCAGCTCGGCTAACATGTGTGTGTGCGAGTGTGTGTGTGAGCCGGAGATGAAGCCGATCGCACAGACGCTGTAAAAAGGCAGCAGAAAATCTACTGCTACTCGGTCCGCACTCATGTGTGTGTTAGTAGTAGTAGTAGCCGAATGGTATTGTCATATTTTATGTTCAACATGAGTTGGCGTTTTGCGGCTGCTGCTGTTGCTGCTGTTTGTGGCAATACGGCAATAATATGGCCACAAATTTGTGCATTTGTGATGGTTTCTTATACTCTATTCATCAAGTGCAAACGAGTATATTAGCCTTTTTGTGGAATGTCCAAGGACTTAAAGGACTTAAGGACTTAAAAGTTGGCATATGATACCTATGTATGTACACTCGTCTACAACCGCGTCGAATATTGTGTTAAGTTTGTCGAACCACGCCCGCTAGAAGGCGTGCAAAACACAAACATCTTATATAATAACATTTAAAACCTTAACCATAAAAATCAAACCAAAATGATTGTGGCCACGCGCGTAGCCTCTAAATTGTAAGAACTATTATCCAAAGTCACAGTTTGAGCATCACGAGGTTCATAATCAGCCAGACTTCTTCTCTATAAATTGAATCTCTGAACAGAGTATTGTGCAGTCGGTTGCCGCCGTGCCCACTCGGTTCTTCGGCTTTGTTGGCTGCCCTTGTATCTCTATCTTTAAACTCATATGCAGTTAAAATTGTGCAGACAATTGCTTGACAGTTCTGTTGGACCTACTCGGGCTGTCGGTTGGCTTTGCTCCCGTTTAATGGAGCTCATTTGTTGCAGGGCCTTTGAGCGCAATTAGCAAGAGTTTTGTGTCTTGCGTTTTTTGGGATGAAATCGCTCGATTCTATTAAAACTGTACACTGCCCGTCCGTCAGGCAGTCAGGTAGGTAGTCAGGCAGTCAAGTGTAGGTACACAATTCATTATATGAGTGCAATTAAAACAACTTGACTGTGTCATGTCCGCCGCTGAAAGTGGAGCGTTTAATTTGAGTGGTCAGAATTTCATAACTCGCATCTAGTCGATGCGGTTACTCTTCGGTGCCTTCTGCTCCGAACATATTTTCCGGCTCAAACCGATTCTTAGCCAATTAGCAATTTGCATTTAGAATAGAGTTTGCGGAATTATCACTCGCATGTTAAACAAATATTCTTTGTTTATTGGCCCAAGGTCGCGAGCAACTCTTCGAGTCCCCAACATTTTGCCAACTGATCTATATAAAGGGAATAATTTTCATGGTCAGGGCTGCCAGCACTAAAATCATTATATAACTGGTTCCGCATGATATTCTATAACAAAATCAATTTCATATCAACACAACATCGCGCTTACCTGCGCAGCAAATCAAGTTATGTTGATGACTTACTCGTATTCTTAGCCTAAGAATTAAGTATTATTCAATGGGACTTAAGTTTGTGGTTTCGTTTTCATACCCTGCATATGTTAGGGAATAGACGAATGTTTGAGCTTCCTCTCTGAACACAATTTCCTTGAGTAGAAGCCAACCATCCATATTCTATATATTTACTTTTTTCCTTAAAATTAATTGGAACACAGAATTACTATTATATTAAAAAATATTATCTTTCGATAAAGTTGTTACCCAAAAAATGATTACATATTTTTAAAATTTTGTATGTAATTGCTTTTTATACGTCAGAATCCTTATAGAACTGAGCACGTGCTATTTTCTAGTCGACTCGCCCGTTTTTCTTGTACTATACATATGTCATTCGATAGAACCTGTTCAGCACACATACGCAAATTAAAGATAGAACCTTTAAAAAAACCTTTCTTTTATATTTTTGTCGATTGCTAAACGAACCATCGAAATATTCTGAAATATTATTGCCTATTAATTATGCAATTTGGGTTCAACAGAACCTGTGGCATAATCGTAAAGAAACTGGAAATAATACTTAGACAACTTTGAATAAACAAATTAAACAAGTTTCTTGTATAATATGTAAATAACTTTCCAGTTGGATTTGATGAGGCAAAGATACGAAGCAATATCAGACAAGAACACGGCAATACTATACGTATCTTTCATCTCACCTTCACATGTTAGAAAATCATGGGCTAGATACATTTTGATATGCCCTTGCAGATCATCTCAACTCGCACCAGCGCATATCTAGATATTTATTAATATCGTGTCAGTCTATAAACTGTTTTATGCGCACTTCCCAAACACGTAATTATTCTATCACGTCGCGGCCACAAAGTCTTTGTCTACGTTTGTCTAGGAAGTAACAGCTGGCCAGTGAATCGTTCTTTAATTAGACACAAATTAACAACTTCTCTAATAAAAAGCAGCTCTGCGAAATAAGTGCAAGTCACTGTGCGTTCGATAGTTCCACTTAAGACAGTAATCCTTTACCATATTTTTATACAATTCTGCGTTTTCGTCTTCATGAACACATTTATGGTTCCCGGCAAATGTATAAGCCGATTGCCTTCGTCGTATTATGATGGTGGTATACCCGAAATAGAGGCCAGTATGAGATTCGGGGCTTTTCTGGGTTGAGAGGTACCTTCTGATGCATAAAAATATATCAAGAAATGCTTTATACACTAATGCTCAAGACGTCTGAATACTTGTAAGACAAACTGGTTTATAATGTCCCATCTTAGAGTTAATATCCCATATCTTTGAAATATATCGCCACATTTTAATTGCGTTAACCTAACGACGTTGGAATAGTCACGTACACTTTTTACAGATTAAATCTGCGTTAAGTACTTTTATTTAGTGGTATATGTATGCATAAATTCGGGACGGCGCGAACGCTCTTCCCGGCTACCAAAAATTACACGCACGAGTTATTCACATTAGGAATAATCGCAGAGGTCAACTCAGCCGAATGTGCAATGACCAAGCCTCGCTCCGGAGGAACCGCCTTCGTGATCACGGTTAACCTCTACGCCAGGTAAGTATGCTTTTCTCCGCTCTGGAACAAGCACTCCAATCCAGGCGCGTCAGAACTGTTTGAGAATTATAAAGTGAAAATTTCAATTCAGACGAGAGTAGCAGAGTCAACTAGATTGTACAATGTGCAGGAGCAGTCAATTCCTGGGGGTTGAAATGTGTAATATGGGCTGATGTAAGTTGTTATACCCTTTGGTGCTGCAAACAATGGTTTTTATTAGCTGGGCTTATCAGTTAAATTTGTCAGTTCCATACTCACTAAAACATATAGATCGTATAAAGCATCTATAATTAAATTAGTGCTTATCTATAATTAATTTGGCAAATATAAGCATTTAAATAGGCCTTCAAATCGGGTATTTAAAGTTCACTGACAAAATTCTGATACTGATAGTATAGAAATAAAAAGTGTGAAATTTCTTTTAGATGATTGTTAGAATTACAATCTATGGAATAACTTGTATCGATATAAGTTTAATTTAAGTTTTATCTTTAATAACAGTTTAATTTTACTGTTGATAAAACAAATTACCAAAAAGAAAAAAATTATTGCTGATACATAATCAAACTACATACAGAAATAAGCAAGAAAATTGTTGCTTATCAAAAGTCCAGCGGTCAAGTAATAATAAAATTAGCACTCTCCAAATAATAGAATTTTATATTTTTACATAATTTTTATGTTCAAAATATGTACTTTATATATTAAAAATATATATATAAAATACAAATAAATACAATATATTTAAAAGAATATTATTATATCATTGTGTCCCCAAGTGTTTCGCTGTTTCAGCGCTATGCACACCCGTCATCCCTGCTTTCGGCGCAGATAATGTTTGCCTGCTTCTGCTAACACACGTACAAGTGCCCAGCTGTTGGCATAGCATACTTTGCCAGTTTTGCCTGCTGTAGGAATTTTCACATGTGCGCGTCTTGTAATTCTCAAACGGTTCTGACTCGGCCGGTATGGTGTGCCTGTTCCAGAGCGGAGCAAAGCATACTTACCTGGCGTAGAGGTTAACCGTGATCACGAAGGCGGTTCCTCCGGAGCGAGGCTTGGTCATTGCACATTCGGCTGAGTTGACCTCTGCGATTATTCCTAATGTGAATAACTCGTGCGTGTAATTTTTGGTAGCCGGGAATGGCGTTCGCGCCGTCCCGAAATTATTAATACATAATAGCAAACAAACAAATGTTATAAAAAGGTGGCCTTTAAATGCCTTCACTGGGTCAAAGCAGTCGGCCAAGCACAATGAAGCGTTTAGTGGTCGTTGTGTGTTCCAATGCAACTCTTCTAGTTTAGCTTCTATAAAATAAAAACAAGCTCTCTTGAACTTGATCTTCTTGCATAGCGTTGCGGAAGAAGCCTTCGTCTGCGTATTTATGATAAGAGCGTCTGTTGAAACTCTTATATGTGTGCTTGGGTTCCTCCTTCTGGCCTTTGTTGTTATTGGTGGCGCGCGGTGGTTCCGTTGGTTTATCATTAGCAGCGAATTTGACTCACAAATATCGACAAATCCGACGCGTTGTTGTTGCTGCTCTGCTGTATTTATTAACTCGAGTTTTGTTTTACGGCATTCGCACTACCGCTAAAGCAGCAGCAATCGACAGCAACAGTTGCTGTGGGGCTGGCAGCGATAAGGTCAAGTTCATTTCCGCATTGCTCTGATCTTGGTCTCAGGGCAGCAGTCAAAGAATGATTGGTAATGACTGCCATTTGCCAGCTTGGGCCTTAACCGTCTATGAGTTGCAGAGCCCCTCCCCCTTGCGGGTCTAATCGCGTCAAGGAAGTTGCACAAGTTTTACAACCTGACATAGACGAGGGGCAATAAAACAAGTTACCATTAGATGAAGTGTATGTGACGCACTTTGAGGTTTCTCCGGCTCGTTGCCCGCTGCCCCTTGCCATTTAGTTGCAGCCACTCGTAATTACGCACGTAATTAGGGTTACAAGCGCACAATCTCTCTGTCCGTCTCCAACTAAGTATGTCACGCAACGAACCATCTAAAACTGAAACCGAATCCCTCCAAACCCCAACTGCGAGTACTCTTTGGCAATGGTCTCTTCACCGTGTGAACAACGAGCCCCCCTCCCGCACGTTACTATGCGTTTTTAATTTGTGCCTAGTGAAAATAATTCGTTAGAAAATGAACTTGAATTGTGGCTGCTGAACTTGGAGGGCGCCCAAAAAAGTAAGATTCTTAAAACCTGCCCAGTTTAGTGGACATATAATTCATTGTCAATGGTCAAGTGTATTTATAATTTGGCAGTACTGCAATTAAATCTGGTAAAGAACCAAATACCACCGCTCACAGCTGGCCACCTTGGCCACGCCAAGTCGAGTTTCAAGTTTCCTTCGGCGGCTTGACACAGTTTGTAGCAATATTGGTTGGATCGGCGTCGACGGCTGCATTTGGCATTTCGTTTGCCCAGTCAATCACCAGCAGCCACTAGCTGCTGACCTCGACTTTCAGCTGAGGCTTAGTAGCAGCAGCAGCTGCAAGTGAGAATGCCCCAAACATTCTCGACTGGCTCAAGCTCCCACACAAAATGAGTTTTCAGAATTATTAGAAAAAATTGCAATTTGCAGCTAAGATTTGTTTATTTTCATTGTGTGAACACAATTCAGCTAATTAAAATGCATTTTCCCAAGATGAAACGTTACAAGAACAAACAGCTTAACGAGCGCCCTAGGCCTGGGCCCCAAAGATCTAGCTGAGATCATTTGGCGCGCTGAGTAACATCAATGAATTATTAGAATTCTGTTTGGCTATAATTACAATTGAATTTTTATGCATGCTTGAGCGCAGCTGGATTATAACTGAGTGTTTGGTTAAACACTTACGAGAGCTAAACACTTCAGCAACAGTTCAAGAACATTTGCCGGTGGTTATTGCCATAGTTTAGTCAGTCATTTAATAACAATAAAGGCAGAATTCGCACGTTAAACAATTAAACAAACGGCATAAATGACAACGATATTTATATATATATATATTTATATAAAAAAATTCAAAAGGCAATCAAAATTTATAAATTGTACAAGTAAAGCTGATTCGACTAATCTGTATTTTTGTTCAGTATTAAGCACATAATTTATGAACATTTTTTAAGAAAGGCAATGTAAAAAAGGAAAAGGAACCTATTATTTTAAATATTTTTATATTTATATATTTCTTGGTCATGACGAGATTCGAACTCGAGTCTACATGCATGTTTCACAAAATTAAGTGTAACCTGTTTTAACGGTGTGGCAGCGCCAACGTAAAATTTTCTTGCTAAGTGGCAACCTTATGTATGAATACTTGTGCTGCTTAATGTAAACTCAAATTTCTTGACCCTTAACTAATATTACATTCACTGTTCAGTTTGCAGCTAAAAATTACACAATATAAGTACGTACACTTATTATACCCCTTCAAATTGCAATTTTAAGCCGAAAAATATCGAAATAAAAATATGCTGAACGATTTCAATTAGAGATGAGCGTGTTTGCGAGTTTTCAGCTTGCTGAATATAGCTAAAGTAAGTGGCGTTCACAAAAATGTCATCTGGGATAATTCCATTAAAATGTATTGTTTGTGCTTTAATTTTGTAGAATAAATAAATTATAGTAGACCGAAACAGAATTATATCTGCACTGCAACGGATTGAAAAAACTATCGGTATGCTTTGGCATTTGGCATATCGATAGAATTAATTTCTAGTGAAAACTTCTGGTCACACTGTAAAATAACAAAAGCAAAGCAACGCAATTCGTTTTCGCATTAATCATCAAATATTCATTCAGTGCAGTTGCAGCTGGAGTGTTAAAAGAGCAAGTAACATTAAAATTTGTTTAATTATATATAAAAGTGAAGTCTAGCTAAGAGCACACACCCAAAACAACAAAATGCGTAACGCGGGCCTTTTGGCCATTTTGGCTGTGTTTGTTTGCGGTAAGTTGAGACGTCGGTAGTGAATATTGCGTATTGGTTTTGCACAAATTAAATAGATTTGAAATATATACATATATACATATGTATGTATATATATTTTTTTTATTAAATTTGCCATTGTGTATTTTGTTATTTTAGGCGTCTGTGTTTCATCAACGCCAATCGCTGAGCAGCCGCTGGTTGGTGCCAGTAAATGCACCTGGGGCCCCTCCTATTGGTGCGATAATCTCAGGTGAGTCTAGAACAAATTGGAAAAGCGCTTTGTCATCGGCAAAAAAAAGAGTCGGTGCAACGCCCCCGCCTCTGCGCGCGCCTCTACAAAATAATGTATATAAAACAATGGCCACTACGCAGTTATTAACCCGTTGCGCGTTTACCGTTTCTTTCTTGAACTGTTTTCATTGTTCGTCGGCAGAAGAACTGTTTGATAAGGCAATCAGCAGAGTCAGGCGTCCGTCCAAGGCAGAGCCGCCATTCTGCTTGGCTCATCGATAACCTTTGTTAGGCGTTTACAGTTGCTCTATTTTATTTAAGCGCTATTTTGCTCTACTTTTTATTTCTGTTTGCACACTTGTTAGATGTACATACGTGCGAGCTTTGGCTACACTTTGCACTCATTCTCTCTCTTCCTCTCTTGTCGTCTATCAGTCTGTTTTTATGTGTTGTGTTGTATTTTGTTTTCCCGTTTCAATTTCGCTTTAAATTGAATTAACAAAAAGACGTCCAGTCAAGTCAACTCATTACATATGTATATATTTATATGTATATTTATGTATGTATATGTATGCAAACTGTATAATCAGCCGCCAATTCCGATGACTAATCAGTTTGAGCAATGCCTGGGCTCGTCTTAGGGCTACTCTTTGTCCGATTTCGCTTAAAGTTGATATTTTATAAGCTTTGACTCAAATAACTAAGTATTCGTCATAGAAGAAACTTTATGGAGAACAGTCAGTTCTCTGGCAGTTTCTTATCAATAAAACGCTATCGATCTCTGAGTAATCCAAATAATAGCAATATCTCTATTGGCCTTAGGTTTTAAACATACATAACTTACAGTAAACACGCCACTCCAAACAAATAATTGCATTTACTAGCAACTGGTTATATAAGCAGCCCGCTACAGTTACAATTTTTATACAATTTATGCAATATTTTTGCTATAGCATCAAATTACTGATTTTCCATAAACATTTCATTCTCTGTTTGTTTATTAACTAATTTACGAGCACGAAATCGCTTAAGTCTTTGTTTGCCAAGATTGTAGACATTAAACAACGTCGCAAATTTTGTGCAATGAGAAGTCGTAGATATACACATATAATATATATTTATATGCCATGTCCGTGCTTATCTGTAGTATATATAGATTTGTTTGTTTTGTAAAAATTAGCGCTTTGCTGTGCCCCACAGCACAGAAAGAACAGTAATTTTTCTGCAAATCAAATTCGAAATGTATTCACAACAATATCCGATTAATATCTTAAATGGTAGGGGAGCTAAACATAGTCCCCCCACTGTCCATTAAATGATAATATGTATATGATTGTGTATATTTATTTACCGCGGGTGCATTCAACTAGCGCATGTTGCGAGGGTTCGTTCAATGCTTTGGACTCTGGTCTTTGCTGACTTGGTGAAACACGATTATGAATGCGGGTCATTTGAGGCGTTTTATTTTGCTTAACTGCGGACACTGCAGAATTATTTAATGCTTGCTTATCAATTGATAAATTTTTGCTGGTTTAATAAACGATGTCTTCTATTTCGACCCGGCAGCAATGCAAAGGACTGCAGAGCGACGCGCCACTGCATTCAGACCGTGTGGGAAAAGCGAGTGGTGCCTGTGGACACTGATTCCATTTGTCAGATATGCAAGGATATGGTTACACAGGCGCGCGATCAGCTGCGCAGCAATGAGACCGAGGAGGAGCTTAAGGAGGTGTTCGAGGGCTCCTGCAAGCTGATACCCGTCAAGCTGGTGCAAAAGGAGTGTATCACGCTGGCCGACAACTTCATACCCGAGTTGGTTGAGGCGTTGTCCTCCCAAATGAATCCCGACGTGAGTAGCTTAAGATAAAACTCATTTTCTTTACATTCATCTATAACATGCAATTGCAGCAAGTTTGCTCTGTGGCTGGTTTATGCAACAGCGCTAGGATTGATGAGCTGATGAAGCAAACCTATCAGGCAGCGTTGGATGGCACACTCAAAGAAGAGGATGTGGTTGTCAATAATGAGTCCGAGCCGTTGGAGAAGAAGGAGACTGGCTTGACACAGCTGTCCTGTGGCAACTGCAACCTGCTCGCGCGCAAGATGCAGAGCAAGTTCGAGTCGACGAATCGCGACAATATGGTTGAACAGTTGCTGCATTGGTGCGGCGCCATGTCCAGCTTCTCAGATGCCTGCGCCAACTTGGTGCTGACCTATTTCAACGATATGTATGAGCATGTGCAGCAGCATTTGCAAACGGATGGCCTGTGCCATTTGTCTGGCGTGTGTGCGGCCCGCTACCATCAGCACGAGGACGATGTTAAGGAACCGGAAGCACTTACAACTTTGGAGGGCATCGGCGATGACATTCCCTGTGCGCTGTGCGAGCAGCTGGTGAAACATTTGCGTGATGTTCTGGTGGCCAACACAACAGAAACGGAATTCAAGCAAGTGCTTGAGGGCTTCTGCAAACAGTCGCGTGGCTTCAAAGACGAGTGCATCAGCATCGTGGATCAGTACTATCATGTCATATACAGCACACTGGTAAACAATCTGGATGCCAATGGCACTTGCTTCCTCATTGGTGTTTGCCCCAAGGGCTTGGATCTGGGTTACGATGCGCCCATTATGCCGTTGCTGCCCGCCATTGCGCCCGCCGAAGTGCATGTGACCATTAGGAAGCTGGGTGCAAACGAACCTAAATTTAGCCAACAGCAAATTGTGGACATGCAGCTGCCCATTGATCATTTGATGGGCGCCGCCAATCCCGGCCAGCTGGTACAGGGCGGTGAACTGTGCACCATTTGCGAGTACCTGCTACATTTCATACAGGAAACGCTGGCCACGCCCGCTACCGATGATGAGATTAAGCATACCGTTGAGAGCATTTGCACCAAGCTGCCACGAGGCGTAGCTACTCAATGCCGCAACTTTGTAGAAATGTACGGCGATGCGGTCATTGCGCTGCTAATCCAGGGCCTGAATCCGCGCAGCGTTTGCCCCATGATGCAAATGTGTCCGCGTAACATTGAGAAGCAAGAGGACATCGAGGTGTTCCACCCAGAAACGGTGTCAAGCGATCAACAGGATAAGCCCACATGCCCGCTCTGTTTGTTTGCCGTCGAGCAGGCTCAGATCAAGATACGCGACAACAAGTCCAAGGAGAATATCAAGAAGGTGCTCGACGGTCTCTGCTCGCATCTGCCCAGTAAGCTGCGTTCCGAGTGCGTAGACTTTGTCGAAACCTACTCCAATGAGCTAATTGACATGCTCATCACAGACTTTAAGCCGGAAGAGATTTGCGTGCAGCTCAAGCTGTGCCCTAAGTCCAAGGATTATCTGGATGAAATGGGAATCAGCCTCTTAGATAGCGCGGAGAACGATAAGTCAGACAGCAGCAGCGAGGAATTTGCGGCCAATGAAATTAACTCCAGCGATGAGCTGCCTATTCAGATCACCTTTGATAAGGACTTTAGCTTGGGACCCAATTGCTTGATCTGCGAGGAGGTGGTCAAAACAGTGGAAAAAAAGATCGGCAAGCACGCGACAAAGTCAGACATCAAGAATGCCCTTGAGCGCTCCTGCGACAAGTTAAAAAAACCGCTGGCCAATAAGTGCCACACATTCATTGACAAACACGGCGATCAGATTGCCGATCTGCTGCTGAAAGAGATGGATCCCAAACTGATATGCCTGGAACTAGGCATGTGCCTGGGCGGGGAGCAGGAGGATCGTAAGTGAAAGGAATACCCTAAAAATTTTAATATATTAGAAATTTACTCTCAATTGACAGTTGACATCGATGAAGCCCTGAAGTACGATGTAATTGTTCTGCCCAAGCGCCGAGACGAGAAGGTGGCACGCCTAGAGTCAACAAAAGTCGACGAACCACCAACCTGTGTGCTGTGCGAGTTTGTCATGACCAAACTGGAGACGGAACTGCAGAACAAGACCGAGCAGGATGAGATCAAGAGAGCCATACGCGTTGTCTGCGATCGCCTCCCGTCGACCATACGCAAGCAATGCGACAGCTTTGTCGATGGTTACGCCACGGCCATTATCAGTCTGTTGAGCAAATTGCCGCCCAAGGAGGTGTGCCTGAAGCTGCAGCTATGCTTTAGCCAGGCCGTCAACGACGAGGTCATCGAGTGTGGCGTTTGTCATGGCGTGTCGCAGTCCTTGCTGCCCTTTTTCCGTTCACAAAAGGATCACGGCAAGTTGGGCGTACAGGACATGATCTCAGAGGCCTGCGAGAACTTGCCAGCCAAGTACTATAATATTGTAAGCCAAGCCATCTTAATTTTATTTTATATCATACTAATTTGAAATTGTTTTTATTGCAGTGCTCCGAGATGATCTCCATTTATGGCTTTAGCATCATGCATCTGTCTGAGCGTCCCTACATTGATCAGTCGCACGTTTGCGCCGAGATTGGCAAATGCTTCGATAGCGAGAAGTCCGCGCTGGCCTTTGCCAGAATTTCAGGTATGTGACAGCTTTTACTAAACTCATATATAAAGTGTTTTAATTTACTTCAACCTTTAATTACAGCTTAAGATGTTGCGTGTTGCGTACTAAACGCAACCGTCACGTGATGTGTCGCAATGGGGCGTCACGATTTATATATATATATATCTATTATATCTTTACTTATATTTACATTCTGTACTCCATTGGGACTGTAAATGATCGAAAATTGACTTATTGTTTCGCACGTTTTATATGTTTATTTCCTTTTCTTAATTACTTTATATTGCGCTTAATTTGAAAAAGAAATTGTGGGTGATAGTTAAAATGCGAATGCAACTGAAACTGAATGATTTTTGTAAGCGTATGCGAAAAGGGCTTAAATTAAACATAAATTGTAATAGTAGACACGCCCATTCCGGTCATGTACTTTTTAAAAACCACTTAAAACCTGAAACCACTTTAAACTGGTTTTGAAACCCGGAACAGGCTGAGAGAAATCAACCAAATTCCCTTAACTAAATCAAAAAAAAAAGAAAACAAAGTGTGTGTGTAGCATAAGACGCCAAGTGTAAAACATGAGAACGAGAATAAAATCTGATAAATAAATCTTTAAAAAGGAAACAAGGAAAAGGAAATTTTTGGAAACAGTTTTTCCAGTGTACACTAAAATATATTTTGTTTATTAAGAATGTTTGAGGATACGCTGCTTATTATTAAGCCGGACTACATGCATAAGCGGCGTCCGGTGCTGCTAAAGCTGTTATCCTGTGGATTTCAGATACAGGGAAATCGCAAGTTGAACTTTTCGCCGGAGCTGGCTGCCGAGTTTTATGCAGACTTTGCAGACGAGAAGGGCTTTATGCTGGAGGTAATCCTGTTGTCTAAGGGCATCTCCGAGGCCTTCATACTAACCAAAGAGAACGGAGTGCAGGAGCTACTAAATATTATGATATGTTACTTGTAAGTGGCAGTTAACAGAAGATATTTTAATGCTTATAGTTGACCCTCAGCGGGTCCGCCTCGGAGCTGGAGCGCAACATCCATGTGACCAAGCATTACGATAGCGTGGCCCGCGAAATAACCTTTATATTTCCCAACTGTAAGTATGGCGGGTTTTATTTGAAGGTTCTAACTAAATCATTTTTGTAATGTGTCCAGATATACACGAACCCATTGAACTCTTTGATAAGAATCGGTTTTGTAATCGTCCCATGCTGAAGCCGCTTATTGCAGAAATTTACGCTATTATGCAGAATGTTGACTGTAGCCAGGATGATTGGAAGACGCGTGTTTCGGACTACTTGATACGCAGTAATCCAGTCGTGCCACAGATCACCAATCAGTGCCAGCTGATACCCGATCTGGGCATGCAGGAGAGATCGCAGCAGACGACCATCACATACAAATCACCAGACAAGGGCGCCAAGCCCAAACAGAAGACTTCGAGCACCACCTCGGTGCTCTCCAGCACCACACCGCACTCGTCCCTGCTGTTAACCACATCTTCCTGTGTGACTTGTGGTGGTTTCGATCACACCGAGCCATGCGTGTCGGAGATAGATCTGAACAAGCGCGTGGAGCCGCAAAGCGATGAGCCCGTGTGCGTCGATGAGGAGATTATTTGGAAGGAGATCATTGTGTATGAAGAGGTTGTGCCTGAGGAAGAGCCGGAACCAAAGGAATTCGATATGTTTGGTGAGGAGGATTATCTAGAGCTTGAAAAGGGCAGTTCGCTGTCCGAGTGTTTGGACCCCGCAGCCGTACCCCCACCGATTGAAGAAAATGACGTGGATCAGGTAGATGCAGACGAGCGAGAAGCATCAGCTGCAGAGGGAGCTCCATTATCAGAAGGTGCTCCAGCAGACGATGCAGGTCAGGTTCCGCCAGCTGAAGAAGCGCCACCAGCAGCTGTAGAGGCACCACCAGCTGCTGAAGAGGCGCCACCAGCTGCTGAAGAGGCACCACCAGCTGCTGAAGAGGCACCGCCTGCCGCTGAATAGCCACCAGCGGAAGCAGCGGATTAATTAACACCTGTTGCCCGCGCTGTTTATATGATTTGCCAAACACTTTGTTCTCATGGCTTCTCTAAAAAGGAAAAAAAATTGGTGGTGTACAGAAAGAAAAAGGACAAACAAGCCAAGCTACACGAACAACCCAACCATATGCAATGCCCCACATTCGCCCAATTTAGCTGGACGCCACCCACAGGTACTGCACTGCGCACTCGCCGTGGCCAGGCTGCAGGCAACACGGCCTGCACTTTTCACTCACCAGCGTTGCACTCACACTCGCAACAGCAACGGCAACTGTGGCAGTGGCAGTGGCAAAGTGGCAGTGCAACAGGAAGAGCAGCAGCGGCAGCAGCAGCAAGCAGCACATCGTTCGCGCCATCATTTTTTCCGTAAGTTCTTTTTCGTCGTGCCCACATTTAAAGTGTTCAATAAAAGGCAAATACAAAAACAAAATTCATTTGTTTTTATGCGTTGCATGCCGAAGTGTGTGCGTGCGTGAGTGTTCGTTTGTGTGCGTTCGTGTGTGTGTGTGTGCATTTTTAATGTGTGTCAACTATAAGGGATTATATTATGGCCTTTTTGGTAAATCAAAAAACGACACGTTAATTGGCAACAACATTGATTGACAGCAATTGTTGCTGTTGTGAAAATTAAACAGCAATTGCATCGATTTTTCCCACATCAAATAGCTAGGGGGGGCTTGGTCAGATAGGTATACAAATTATGAGTACTTGTGTGTGTATGCAACTAGGCAGAACTACAACTACAACAACAACAACTCATTGCAGTCAATATGTAGACACAGTAGCAGCAACTGAACAGCAGCAACAGTAACATAAACCAACAACAATTTGACGGGCATCAAAACGCAAAAGCGCGCGAAATACGTTATGTTGAGCATCAGCAATCGACAGTCGCACATACAACACGCAGCAGCAACACAGCAGCAGCAGCAACAACAACAGCAACACATGCTGGAGAATGCAGGCGCAACACATGGCAGCCACATCTACGAGGTGGAGGAGGAGGAGGAGGAGGAGGAGGAGGCGGAAACGCAGCAGCACGATGTTCATCTAAATTTTAGCAACTTTGCTGAGCTGTGCCGGCTGTGCGGCATACACCAGGGACCCAGCAAGCTGCACATCTTCGACCCGCAGGCGGAGCAGCGCCAATTGCTCTACAAGCTGCGCACGCTGCTGCAGGCGAATGTGAGTAGGTGTGCGTGAGTGCGTGGGTGAGTTGTGTTTATTGGCCTGTCCAATTGCTTGACAGATAACCAAGGACGACTATCTGCCCAAGCACATATGCGAGCTGTGCCTGGAGCGCCTGGAGCACTTGTACGATTGGCGGCAGCTTTGCATGCGCAACGAGCATATGCTGCGTAACTATGCCGCCTCCATGCACACGGTCCGAGCAACCATAGATTTTCAGGTGAGTGAACTGAGCAACTGCTGATAAGCGGCCGCCGCGACTGCCATTGTCAAAGTTACGCTGTCCCATTGCCAAAGTGTTCCACGCGGCAACCACCACCAACCGACTGAGGACTGAGAGTGAGAGAGAAAGCTCTCCGCCAGCGCGCCGAGTGGTATGCAATACTTTTTTTTAGCCACACTTCCGCCTTCTGCGCTCAAGTTCAGTCGCTTTAGTATCTGTCTGCCTCTGACTCTGTCTCTGCTGTCTCTGGATCCGTGAGCTAACATCGTCGTGGTCGTTGTCGTCATCGTCGCATGCTCCGTTCCTGTTTCTCGTTCAAGAATAACAAATAATTACTCAAATTGTGCTCGTTCTTGCCGCGACTGCGACGACGACGGCGACTGCGACCGCGACTGCTACGACGACTGCGACGGCGACTGAGCGAGTCGACTCCAAATCAGATTCGCAATACATACACAAACAAAAGGCGCTGGGCACTGGCTCGAGGAAGTAAACGGCGACGGCAGCAGCAGCTAAAATACAGCTCGTATAGCACCAGCGCATAACATTCAAAAAAATCTTCCAAATTGTGAGCTGCAACCAAAAAAGATTAGAAAAGCCCATTGAAATTCGCGTACAACATTTAACGCTCTGCGCGGCGTCCGTTTTTTATTGATTTTCAATTGTGGTAAGCAAGATTGCAAAAAAGAACAAAAAAAGAAAAAAGGAAGAACAAAAAAATAATATAAAATCGAAAAGCAGGCAAGGAAAAGCTACAAAACTGAGCCAGTGAAAATGTCAATAGTGTGCGCGGTGTGGGGCGGGAAGAGCGCGTATTTTGTGCTGCAGCGTTAACCAAATGCGAAAAGCGTGTAATAAACATTTAAGCCAAAGTGTGTGAACAGCCCAAACTTTGGGCAAACAAAATTTTAGCTTGACTTTCAGTGGCGCGCTTTAAATACATTTTTGACAGACACGGAAAAGCCTCAAACCAAGAAAGGCCGCCAAAGCAGGGAGCACGGCCGGCATACACACACGCACGGCTTCAGGCTGTCGTTGGCTGGCAACGGGGGGAGGCGGCACCACCACCACCAGAAGTCCAGAGCCCAGCAGCAGCGGCAGCAGAATTGAAAATTCAGCGCGAGCAAAAGCTCAAGTCGCAAATTTTTGCGCAAGGGCAGGCAGTTTTGAGCGCGTTCAATTGGGGGTGGCGGCTGGTGAAATTTCGCAACACTTGCGCGCCATTTAGGGGTGGCAGTGCGGCACGGCACGGCACGGAACGAAACGAAACGAAACGGAATGTGAGCGAAACACTCGACTCAATGTTTCATTGCCATTTGGTTCATTCACAGGACGGCACCGTTAACATGGACAAGATGACGGTGGCCCAGAAGAACGCATACCTGGAGGCGCATATGGCCGTGCAGCAGCAGATGGCACAGGCGGCCATCCAATTCAAGCAACAGCAGCAGAGCTCCGTGCAGCAGAGCTCCCCAACAACCAACAACAATAATAACAACCAGAACAATGGCAACATGCAGCAGCAGCAACAGCAGCAGCAGCAGCAGCAGCAACAACAGCAACAGCAGCAACAGCAGCAACAACAACAGCAGCAACAGCAGCAACATTACGCGGCCACCATCAAGGTCCCACAGATCAGTTCCTCCAGTTCGGCGGGCGGCGCTGCTGGCGCAGCGGGCGACAGCACCTTTACAGTGCCCGACGACGGCATGGGCTTTGAGGGCGGCGTGCGTGTGCTGCAGAGCCTGGGCACTTGGTCAGCGGCGGAACAGCTCACCTACAATATACCAAAGCCGAATCTGATACCCTTCACCGAACCATATGTGGAGGGCGGCTCCATGCATCCGGCCAGTCGCCTGAAGGCGCTGCAACAAGTGCAGCAGGCATCCTCCGGAGTGCGCAAAACAAATCCCTCAAAGAGTGAGTAACTTCATCCAAATGCAACGGGCCAACTAGCCACTAATTCCAACCGTGTTGCTTACAGCCACCAATAAGGCATTCGAGTGCACCGTCTGCGGAAAGGGGCTGGCGCGCAAGGATAAGCTGACCATACACATGCGCATCCACACCGGCGAGAAGCCCTATATTTGTGAAGTATAAGCAGCCCTTGAATCGGCGGCTCAATGCCCCAGCGATGGCTGACAGCCACTAATCTGTTGCAATCTCCATCCATTTCAGGTGTGCAACAAGGCATTCGCACGCCGGGACAAGCTCGTCATCCACATGAACAAGTTCAAGCACGTGACGCCCACCAATATTGCGCCGCTCGGCAAGCGGCTCAACAATATGGTCAAGAAGAAGGAGCAGCCAGATCCGCCGCCAGAAGACAATAAGCAGAGCTTGGAACTGCAGCTACAGCAGCAGGCCGTGCAGGTGGCCGCCCAGAATATTATAGTGCAGTCGGCGCAGGGGGCGCCCACGGCAATTCCAGGGATCATCATACCACATCACCAGCAGCAGTTGTCCTGGACGTGCGAGCTGTGTGGGCGCATGTTCTCGAGCCGGGACGAGTGGTCCATTCATGCTAAGAGTCATCTGGAGGTGAGCAAATGTCGGTTGAGCCTACCGGCCAGCGGGGCCTAAGGCAGTATACGCACTAGTATCGGGGCGGCTCTAAACTGGCGTTCTCTGATCCTTGCAGTATTGACAACAGGAACGGTTAGTCGTAGAGTCCACAAAAACAGCAGCCGCCATCGCTAAGAGCAACAGCAACAACAGCAGCACCAGCGGCAGTGGCAACAACAACAGCAGTAGCAACAACAACCATAATCGCGGCTATCAAATTGATGCAAACCGAAACCAAATACTCAACAACAGCCCGCAAATGGAGGCACATGCACGCAGCCAGAAGATAATCATACAAAATCAGATGATCCTCAATGCCAGCCATCAGCAGCAGCAGCAGCAGTCGCAGTCGCAGCAGCAACAACATGTTGCTGGCGGCAAGAAAGCGACCAGAAAGCACCACCAACAACAACAACAACAGCAGCAGCAACAGCAGCAACAAGCACAGACCAGCGCGCCTATGTACAATAATAACACCAACAGCAATAACAATAACAACAACAACAGCAGCAATAACAACAACAACACCAGCAACAACGGCAATAATCAGGGACATGAAGTAACTAACTATTATCAACAACAACAACAACATCAACAACAACAATAACTACAACAACAACTACCTAAACACCATTTAACAACAAAAACAACACGCAACATCACACGCCATCAGCATGAAATTTTCTGTCACTTTCACTCAATTTGTATCTTTGTATCTGTATCCCTTCATCCCTCTTCCCGACCAGGTGTCAGTGCCCGTCTCGCACATAATTGCCAACTCACCAACAGCAGCCACTTACATGCAGGCCCAACTGACCGGCCTGCACACCGGCAACACCATCGGCGTCGGCGTTGGCGTTGGCGATACTGGCGGCAACATGAACATGCCCATCGTCACCTACAATGGGAATCAGTATTGCGTTATAACCCGTGCACCGGAGTCGGATGCGATTGCCATGCAGAAGCAGTCGCTGCCCCTGGACTATGGCCAGGCCACCACAGCCAATATTATTGTAATGTCGCCAATGCTGCCCCCGCAACAACAACAGCAGCAGCTGCAACAACAACAACAACAGCAGCAGCAGCAGCAGCAGTAAACGAAGCTCGTTCATGATTCGCAAATTAAGTACTGAGAAAATGAGGCGGAAAATTTAAGCTGGCATCGGTGCATGGCCCGAGGCGTTGGTGGCGTTGTCTCATTAGCCAAGCCCCTGAATTTCGATATTGGATATCGAATATCGGCAGTAAATGGCGTCTCATAACTGGCATTTGACGATGGGGAGAAAGGCAGCCGCATTGCTGGCCAGGTAAACGGATAGGAAAGTGCGCAGCCTCAGGATCCGTCTTCAAGTTTGCAATTAGCCTCAGCTCGCAAGCAGCTATAAATACAAACTGTAAATAAAGTTTTTAAAAAACAAAAACAAAATTAAATTAAAAAAAAAAAATGATTTTAAGAACACCTAAGTATATGTTTAATTCTAAGAGGTAAACCATACAAGACCGAGAGATTTTTTCAAATAGTTTTCGCATGTAATGCTTCTTAAATTCAAACAGAAAGTCGTTTTTTAAATGTTTCGTTTTAAAAACCCATAACTAAGCAAATACAAATAAGAATAATGTTTATGTGAATTGAAAACAAAAAGGAAAAGCAAATGTAAACACCATTAACTACGTAGTCTAAGTCATTTTACATATCCATTGAAAATCTCTAAAATCAACATACAAATAATACCCATACAGCCATAAACTGAGATATTATTTAATTATTTTTGAACATTCGTAGTTTTTGTTGAAACCATCTTCAGTTCAGCATTTGAAGTATCTATGAAAATGAGCTATCATTTCGATGTGCATCAATTTATTTGTATAATAGTTCGCGTTTCAATCAATTGTTTATAATTATGCTAACGGCAATACAATATCTATGTCTTAAAAAGGAAAAACAAACAATACCTATGTAATAATGTAAGTAGTTCAGTAGTGTCCGTCAATGATACTCACATTCAGAATTACTACAGCAACTGTGTGGAAAACGATGGTTAATATATTAAATACAATAAAATCTAACAAATTTTGATTGGATTTGTGTAATTTAATTCAACGAATTAGCAAGAGCTAAGCGGTGCTAAGGAGCGTAACTTAATTTAGATCTTCATATAAAATATTAATTCTAATTATCGTAAAGCATCAAATACTAGATAACAAATGAGAGATACGAAACAGTGTTGGAAAACAGTGTTTTTTCTCTCATTTCCCCTTCGAATTTGGCTTTTATGTTTTGTAAGAACAATTAATATCCCACGATAATGTTGACTTTTAATGCTCTCAAGCCCATAGTAAATGCTCGCATACATCTTTAAGCCGCCCATAATTTAGAAAAATCTAAACAATTTGATTCCATTTTGGCTATGGCTTAAATACCTAATGTTTTTTTAATATTTTGTCATATGTGTGAGCCAAAGTTTTTAATCGATTTCTATAATCAGTTATAGCTATGGTTCAGCACAGTTTTACTAAAGGTTTCTTAAATGTATCTTCTAGCTTCTTAAAAATTGAGAGTTCTGTTCAAGCGAGGAACATTAAGTAATGTTTCATATATGGCTTCAAACTATTTTAAAGAACTTATTTGAAGTATACAATACACGTGCACATTTACAGTGCGTATTCGTTTAGCAAGCTTGGCAAGCTGTCTATCTGACAATTTATGTTGCGTATACGACCTGTTGTCCACATCTAACTGCTGCTGACACACAAACACTTATTGTCAGACGCACGCAATGCCATATTCGAACCTTACACCCATTCTGAGCTGCCAATAATTGGCAGCTGTTCTCGGCCAGAATTGCGCAGACTTGAGCCACTTATTCGCTGATTTTTTTGTTTTTGCGGCGCAATCGAAGTTTGGTTTGGCTTAATTGCCAAGACAAGTTGGCGGCACACTGTGAGAAGCTCAAATTCGAGACTCCAGTTTTGATTTGGTCAACGCGGCGCACGAAAAACAACTTTTCGTTGGCTTGAAAAATGCGGCAAGTTGACCTTAAACGGAAACTCGTCGTTGCAGTCGACGTTGGCGTCGCGTCAGCCGCGCAGTCGCTAATAAATTGAATACTTTAAATGTTGTTTTTTTGTTGTTGTGTTTTTAATGTTGTTTTTCGCAAGAATTGCAAATTAGTTGAACTGACAGCGACACGACCGCCGCGCCGCAGCAAACTTGAACACCTACACGAAGATGACGACGACGTCGACGACAGCAGCGGCAGAAGTGAAGGCAGCAGCAGCAGCAGCTGCCAAGTGTCGCTCGACTGTTTTGGTTCTTTGCATCAGTTTTAGTTGGAATTCGCTGTTGAACGGACACGGCTGCCAAATGCTGAACGGCAAATTCTATACGGGTCTGCCGCCCAAGATGGAGGGGCGGCAGTGCGCCGTTGGACGCAATCGCCAGGAATCGCACTTCTTCTGGCCCGATGATACGCGCGTGGACAGCGCCGTGGAGACGCGCGTCAAGCGACGCAATAGCCTGCAGCTGGAGTCTGGCGCGGAACGGCCGCGTTTGACAGCAGGCAGTCGGCTGAGCTCTGTGCAGGACGAGACAACGCCAGATGTGAGCACACGCCAAATGTTTCACAAGGAGTTCGCCAAGTCGTCCATCCAGTTCTATGACAATCTGCAGCCCAGCAATAGCAATAGCAACAACAACACTAACAGCAGATCCCGTCTGCTGAACCGAGCACGTCGCGAGGTGACGCCCAAGCTGACGGATGTCGTGCCGTTGCCAGCAGTTGAATCTACGCCTGAGATAGACCCGAGCGCAGCCAGACGCCAGCAAGCCTACAGCTCTAAGATACAGTTCTACGATTACGTCAACGCCAACGATGCGGATGCCACGCAGAACAATGTGCGACGGCCCAAAATGGACATGAACAACAAGCGCGAAATGGAGCTTAACTCCAAGAACAGCCCCAAGCTGCAGGTGAAGCACAATGTGCGTCATCTCAGCGTAGAGCGTGACCAGCTGACAACGCCGCCAACATTGCGCATGGTTACCAAAAAACCACTCAACGATGGCCAGCCCTGGCAGCAGGAGCAATATGAAACAGTGCACCAACCCCCGCTGTTGCTGCCCAAGAAAATACTCAAGCAGCAGCAGCAGCAGCCTTGGATTGAGGACTTGGACGAGTCCATGCTGAACTATGTGGACAATGGTGTGCGCCAGTTGCGGCTGCGCAGCCCCGCGCCCGCCAAGAAGCATGTCACCTACAACGAGGAGGCAGCGGAATATGCCTACTATGATGACAGGTTGGATCCAGCTGTGGGTCGCCAGCTTAGGCAGTCGCAGCCAAATATGCGCACAGGAAGTGGCCAACAGCAACAGCAACAGCAGAAACAGCAACAACAGCAGCCAAGTCCATATGTGGAAGCTGGTCGCGATACAAAATCATTAAATAACTATAATAAAAAAAGTCATAATAATTATAACGAATACAGCGGCAACAACAACAGCAGCGGCGGCTTACGCTCACGGAAAATCTTGCCCAAATTGCCAGAGCTGACAACAACAACAACATCAACAGCAACAACAACAATGCGAAGTCGACGCTTTGATGACACAGCAGCAACAGTTGCTGCTGCTGCTGCCACTGCTGCGGAGGCGACGTCTCCCTCTGACCCACGCAAACACCTGCGCAGCAGCCTCTGCTTCAACGGCGACGCTTTGGTCGTGGATGTGGGTGCTGTGCCGCAGTCGACGTCAGCTGCTGCGCTTGCGCGTCGCAGCTCAGCCGGGCAGCGCGTCAGCGTCGGCCTGCCAGACTGAGCCAGCCAGCATATACATACACACTCTATACATATATATATAAGTATACATATATACACAATATACACAATACGATATTTGATGTGTTTATTGAATGCAACTCAACGTTGGCGTCGTGTCATGTTAATTGAATGCAACAACTGGCCGCCGCGACTGCGACGCTGGCAGCGACAATTTTATGGCTTGTTTTTTGTTGTCGTCGTCTGCCGTTGACTTCACCCACAACGCACCAAATTAAACACCCCGCCAGCAACGTTGAATATACATTATACATAGTGCTAATGATCTTGCCTAAAAAGCGAACAACAAATCTCTTATAATTGCTATATATTATATATAATACTATTATTGTTGTTAGTTGCCGTTGGGCAGTCAAAATGTATTAATTTAGTTTCTTAAGTGAGCAAAACACAAAAGAATAATAAAAATGCTAATCAAACCGTGTAACATAATTAGAACGCTTTAATTTGATTTAATACAATCGCTGGTTGGGTAGATGTTTAAAAAATTTTAATATAAGAACTTTTCAACATGATGTCGGCAATGAAAGAATCTGTTTTTATTTATATAGCCGATTATCTCTTATAATTAATTCAAAACATGCAAGCTTAGATCAATTCCGGTTTTCAAATTTACGATAACAAAACAAAATTAAAGCGAAAGTTTCATTCCAGCATTCCGCTAAGAGACTAAATGTTAGAGATAAACTTATGCAGAAATATAGCAAAATATTATAGTATTAAAATGATTAAAAAAAGTATTAAAATGATAAGAACAAGCGAGTTCTATTGAGATGTTATTAAAGTACTTCTGCATATTCGGTTTACACTAGGAAAAATGCCTGAAAATTAATAAGTGGGCATGGAATTATAAAAATAAAAACAAAATAAGTATTAGTTTTAGTTTTATTCAACTTTCGTAATAAACGCAATATACATGTCTAGATCTATTCCGATTTTGACATTTGCGATTTCAAAACCTCCAAAAATTAAAGCGAAAGTTTCATTCCAGCATTCCGTTAAGTGATTAAATGGAGCTTGTTACAAACAAATTATTGTATAAACAAGAAAACTGGAAAGAACGAGTTAGTTCTACTAAGATGCTACTTAGGTAGATAATTAATTAGTGGGCCAAAAAAAATAGTGACATAAAGTAAGTTTAAGTGTACATTAGTTAAAAAATTGCGCTTTGATGTCGTTGCTACCCAAGGCGGTCAGGGATTGCCAGTGGCTGGTCTGGCAGCTGGAGCACCTTTCACAAAATTTTTATTTTACCAACAAAAAAATTAACGTTAACCGAACTTGTATTGTTAACGGGACTTAAAACCAGCTCAGGCTCAGCTGTGCCACATGTTTTTCACAAGGAAAACGGAAATTATGACAATCGCAAATTGGCTGCGCCTTTTCTTGTAACGATCATGCGTCTTGAACTTGAGCTTGACCTTGCTGGAAAATGGGGGAAAATGCAGTATAAAGACAACATTAATTGGATAATTATGCATGCAACAGCAAATACATCAATCAAAGTGCCATTAAGCAACTATTTCATTAGGGGCATGCATTTAATTGTTTCAAAATAGTTGAATAAATAAAACAGCAACGCAACAGGATAAGCGTAACGGAAAAGATTGGCCGACGTTTGTGCAAATGGTGCGTGATGAAATGTTATGCAATTGTACACTGGCCAATTCGATTTCCACTTCCAACTACCAAGCAGTCAAGACATGGCCAATACAACAGACACGATTGAAAAATAGAAAAAAATACAAAAAATAAAATGCAATAGCAACAGCTTCCGCATTGCGCCTGTGCCGCATCCTGTCTGGCTAGAAAGTAGCCCAAGCATGCACGCCAAAAGGCCAAGACATGCATGTGCCGGCATTTCCTGCCACAGCTGAACCTGAACTTCAGGCCAAAAACTAACTGCCAAAAAAGTGCAAGTGGCACCGACTTTTATTGGGTAACACTTACCAGAGCCGCAACTAGGCACATCTTCCAAACCAGTTAACAAAAATAAAAAAGAAAAAAATAACAGATCTAAGAGTCAGATAGAGCCCAGCTGCATGGGGCCGGCTAGACCGGAGCCTCCCTCTATTTAGTTGGCCAGCTCATAAGAGACGGTCAAAACAATACCCCCTCGCCCTTCCCTCACTACATCACATAACAAGTAACAAATGGTTATCGTTACTTGCAATTACGCTCATAAAAAACATTTTATTTATGCCGCGTGCTCTCATTTCCTACTGGATATGCAAATGA